GGTCCTGCTGGGTCAGGCTCTGAGGAAGGGCTGAAAGCAGGTAGTGCCCGTGCAGGCCACAGCGGGTGGCTGCATCCGTCTGAACCACCAGCACTGGGAATTCGGTCACTATGGGAGCAGAGCAAGGTGGGGGTCAGCATGGTGACACCGAGCTGGAGCCCTAACCTGGCCCCATCCGCCACCCCTGCACGTACGGTCCTGCCAGGAGGCATAGAGGGAGTTCTCCTCCATGGGGACAGCAGGGCTGGGCTGGGTCCCGGCACTGCTCTGCGCCGTCTCCTTTGCACCCTGAAACAGAGGGATGTGAGCGCAGCCCCAAGACCGGGGGAGCACAAGCCACCGTACCTACCCTCGCACCCCAGAGCCCCCTGGCTCACCCAAGCCAGGAGCAGCATGAGAGGTCCCGGTTGTGCCGGGCCCCATGGTACCTGGAAGGCCAGCTGGCAGAGCTGGGTGATCCATTCATCCCGCTGCTCGGCTGCCAGCACATAGCTCTTCTCCGTGGTAGTGAGGTAGAAGGCGGCGGTGGCTTTGGGGCAGCTCTCGGTGCCCACCGGGCCCACAGAGACACAGTCCGAGAGGCGGATCACCCGGCGGGCACACCGCCGCAGGGAGGTCTTCTCCAGTGCCATGCCGTCATCCCGCACATCAAACTTCTCCATGCGGGCCACACCGGAGGGGCTGGCGGCAAAGAGCTGGGCTCGCATCTTCCTCCAGGACCTCTGCAGCGTGGGAAGGGCACACGCAGTGGGGAAAAAAAACACAGGGTCAGCAAAGAGTTGCCTGCTGCGTCCTCACAGCACTGCCCTCCATGCAGGGATGGCAGTGCCTGGGAAAAGCCATGCGGGGCAGGAAGGGGCACAGGGGTCCCTGCTCACACCCGCCAGGTGCTGCAGGAGGGCATGGAGAGCCGGGGCAAGCGCAGACCCCCAGCGCTGTGGGGCAGGGCAGTCCCAAAGGTGGGTCGAGTGCGGGGGGGCCATGCCCCGAACGAGCTCAGCATGGCTTTCTGGGTGAGTCACCCTTGCTCCCGGCTCGCCGAGCACCAGGTCCTGCTCTTTGTTCCCTGCTGCAAGTGCCGGCCTGCCGCCGCTGCAGCTGAGCTCTCAAGCTGTTCTCAGGACAGACCCTGATGCAAATTAAAGCCATTTTGAGCTGCTGAGGCTCCTGCTGGCAGCCCCACAGCTGCTGAGCACAGCCCATGGCTTTCTGGGTGAGTCACCCTTGCTCCCGGCTCGCCGAGCACCAGGTCCTGCTCTTTGTTCCCTGCTGCAAGTGCCGGCCTGCCGCCGCTGCAGCTGAGCTCTCAAGCTGTTCTCAGGACAGACCCTGATGCAAATTAAAGCCATTTTGAGCTGCTGAGGCTCCTGCTGGCAGCCCCACAGCTGCTGAGCACAGCCAGGCCCTGCAGCTCACAGCCCGCTTCCTCCCAGGGGAGGCTCTGCGGCACCGGCACCTTCCCAGCCCATCATGGGATAGAGGGGGCGCGTGCCCCCACGTGCCTCAAAAGCACAGCAGAGCCTCCGCCCTGCAGAAACCAGATGCAGCCAAGCACCCCAAAT